TTGCAGGGGTGGCCAAGACACTTTCTTAAAAACTGCATTCTGAGCTCCGTTCTTCCCAGGGTTTGGATTTTCAGAGCTGTTACACACAAAAATAGGTGAAAATCTAAAAAAAACGCTGAAAAAACAGCAGTCAAATAAAAATAGAAGATTTTTAGAAATCAACTTTGAAATCCACTGATGTGAGTTCCCGCAATGTTTGTTTAGCAATAAAAAGCTGTTTTCTTCACGAATCATGTATTTTTGCATGTCTTCTCCGAGTAGATTCTCATCTTTTTGTGGATGTTAAAGCCCTGGAAATCCAAACCCTGGGAAGAACGGAGCTGAAAATACTGCATTTTAACCAAGTATTTTGCCCGCCTCTGTGAAGTTGGAGGAGAGAGGAGTCGTTTCAACATTTCATTTCATATTTGCTTTCACCTCGCCTCACTTCACTTCACGGTCGGCACGTCGCTCCGAATTGTGCTCACATTTGCACTCTGCTTGCTTTCCATCCTCATTTCCATCCAGCCAGGCCGGAGGAGGATCCGTTTGGCTCTCGGTGGCTTCGTTTCGGTCTGCGGCTTCGTTGCGGTTTTGAATTTGGATGAAAGTTTGGATCCCATATTTGTTTAAAATTTTATTATGTTTTAGTTCAGATACAAAATTTTAAATGGAAGATGAGACGGGGCTAGTTGGATTTGGATTGAGACAAAATTTGTAGGCTTGATGGGATTCAGTTTGTTTTAGCATTCAGTTGTTTTGTTGGAATTGGAAATGAATTGTATTTCTGGGGAATGAAATTAATGCAAAGTTGGGAAAGTGAAAGGCTTGAATTATTTATAATTTGTAGTGGAGAAAGTACTGGGTGGGAGATGTCTGGGCGAATTTTAACGAATTTTAACCAAGAAAGTAAATTATTCCAATTTAACCAGTGCACAAATTGACCTGCCGAAAATTGGTGTTCACATAAGGATTCTGATTTGATTTGCTGTGTACATATATAAGCTTTCTTTAATTTCAAATAAAATGTGTCAGATTCTCTTAGAATTGATAGAACGTTTATAAACGTTTTTCTAATTATTTCTGTTTTTCACGCTTGACTTTCCGGCTATGTCGGTCTTTAGTCGAAATAGTGCCCTGATCAGAAGGAAGCGTATTAAATCAGCCATAGTGGATAAGTTTAGATATCATTAATTATGTTGCGTTTTAATGTCATTTACTTTATTCATGAAATTTTGGTTAACGAAGCAGAGACTAGATTTGTGTGGCCCTGGATCGTTTTTAAGACCTAACTTGACCGCATTGAAACATATATTTAATAAGGAATACATTTCATGAAAAGCCTCATACAGATTTATGGTACCATATTCAAATTATTAGTGACAAATCTTTACCAGCCTCATTAATACTGAATACACGATTTTGTTACCAACTTATATTAGGTGTAGATATATTTGTTAAATTTTACAAAAAATATGGCCACTTTTCAAAATGACATAAAATTGAAATTTGTAACTCAGGAAAGGTACAGACATTTCCAAGAACTAGACAAAAACAGTGTCATCTCCACTAAAAATTTATGAATTTTCTCCTCCGCCAACTTTTCTATGATGAAATCTACTCGGACACATAAGTAAAAGATAAACAATCGAAGAAAGTGGAGCTACTTTCACTTCTACTTGCGCAATTGCCACGTTTTTGTTACATAACGTAACTCATCTACTTTCACTCGAGTGAAAGTGCACATCCTTGAGCCCGGTTTGGTTTGGTTTGTCGTGAAGGCCTCGACTTTTGGACAGTTCGAGAATGAGAGTGGGCGCGGAATTGTATTGTCTCATTAAAATTTGAAGAGATTCAAAGAATTGGAATTGTGTTGCGATCGGAATGAACGAGCCGGGTTGAAGTGCACCCTTCAAATCTAATTGACACCGACAAACAGACAAGAGTGGAAAAAGAGGGGATGCAGCCAAAATAGAAAATGCTCTCTTTCGCTAAACTTGCCCAAGCCCGAGCTGGAGTAGTTGTGCAAATTATGAGTTAAAAGAAATGATTTGATTCGTAAACGGCGTAAATTTGAGAAATTTTGGAAGTAACTTGAAGATGATAACCTGTCATTCGACCAGTTTTGATTTTGACTCTTGTGTTTTTAACCCGTTGCCATAAACCCACTAAGGATAAGTAAAATGGAGAGGTATCATCTGTTTATTGCAGTTTACTTATGATACTCTGTAAAAAGTTACAAATGTCGCCTAATTTATTCAACTTGAAAAAAAAAATTACCAGATTTTCCTTCAAAATGGTTACAAAATTTCGTAAATTTTTGTAAGGTTACGGAATTTACAGATTTTACTATGTTACCAAGATATGCGTGAATTGCCTCAATATACGACAACTAACACTCTTTCCGAGAAATACTCTCAGACAGACATTTCGGTCATATAAATTCTTGATCCCACCCAAACCAAAGTCTGTGTCGAGTTTTACTTAAGGGACCGTACACAAACAATTTGTTTTTACCACAATTTAACAGTATTCAACATCCTCTCCGAACCATCCCCAACTTCGGGTGGTAAAGGAGACCCGTTTTCCGTACTTTTATGTATTTTGGAATTTGCACGAATCAAACAAGATCAAACAAGACACTTGAAGTTGCACGAGTTTAGCACGCTGTCACTTTAACTTTCACTCTCCGACATGACACACGGATGGCAAGAGGGAGATCGTCCTCCCACGCGCAATATATTTCTGGATGGCTTTTACTTTGCTAATTGCGTGAGGGAACAGCCGGAGGGAATTCGCTAATAATAAGGAATGTCGAAGGTTAATGGATTGTATGCCGTGTATTTTTAGGCATGTTAAAATTCTGCTTTAATTCGTTAAAAGCGAAATTATTCAAGCTTTTCAGATGGAATATTTTAAATAAATTTATTTCAGAAATTTATTTGTCAAAGGTTAATGGACTGTTTCCTTGCAGAGTATTTTTGGACATATTAAAATTCTGCTTTAATTCGTTAAAAGCAAAATTTATTCACAATTTTCAGATGGAATATTTGGAAATACATTTATTTTCAGGAAATTTATTTATTTATTATGCTGGCTTTATTACTTTACAAGTTTTATGCCTTACGGAAATTGATGGACCCTACCTCATAGATATAGAGTAGAGTAGATTCGGCTACTTTTGAAAAAAGCGTCTCGGCATGGAGGAGAATTTGGGGATAATTTGGGGATAACGCATGGTTGCACGGTAGCGCATGGAATGCTTAGCACGCTTGCACATCATTAAAAAATTATTATTTCACACCTGTTATTTTTTTTGGCGTTTAAATCATACGAAATTAAATAATTTAAACGCCAGAATTAAAATAAGTGGCGATAAATAATAAAATACGGAGTTTAGCAAGCTTGGTTTGTAGACACAGGCAGGGTTTAGTCGCACCTCAAAAACATTGCCGAGTTTTTAACATTGACTATATGGAAGAAGCCTGATCTATTCTACTCTATATCTATGCCCTACCTTAACTACGTTTTTTATAACTATTATGTACAAAAAAACACGATATGTCGTGCAACCTGCAAAAAGTAAAATTTTAATTGATGGATTTTTGAAATTGTCTACATTATTTTTTTTGGTTTGCTGAAAATCAAGTATTCGAAATTATTCTACACTTAAAACAATAATTCGGTAGAAGGAAATCTGTAACAGAGCAGTAATATAAGCCTGACGGACGAAATGTGGTCAACATTTTATAAAAAAGAATGGCATAATACTTTATTTCTTTTACAAATCCGTAATAAATTTAAGGAAACCTGGTGACAAGTTATTTCCTAGCACGTCTATGTCGACTTGTTAAGTACACTAGAAAAGTTACAGAATAATTTCGAATTTTTTTATAAATTTTATGGAGTTCTGTAGTTAATGAAACTGGAATAACTGAAGTGATTTTTTCATGATGTGAGACATGTTTTTGGTTCGTAAGCTGATCTTCGTAAATTTATGGACTTACGAAGGTTGAAGTGAATTGCCTCACTAAGGAGGGGAGGTTGGGTACTATCAACTCCCGGATCTCGATGTCCTTTGGATATGTTGTAGTGTCTCATGAATGTACAAGAACCCTGAAGTGGTTTGATTCCATGGCCACATTTGCGCCCGCCACACCCACTCAAAGGTGCCCAAAAATCGCTTTCACTCCAGCTTTCACTCATTCAAAACCACGCTAAAAATCCAATTTTACTCCGATTTTGAAATTTCTTTCACCATTATACTCCCAGACAGTTGTACTCTTATTTCCAACATCAAATTCCACTTTTTGAAATTTTTAGTATTTTTAAAATTTAAAATTCTGAATGAGCATTGTCGCAGTAATCAACAAAGCAAATTGTGGCTGCGAAATAATCATCAAAAAAGTTGAGTTTGATGTTGGAAATAAGAGTACAACTGTCTGGGAGTATAATGGTGAAAGAAATTTCAAAATCGGAGTAAAATTGGATTTTTGAGGTGGATTTGAGTGAGTGAAAGCTGGAGTGAAAGCGATTTTTGGGCACCTTTGAGTGGGTGTGGCGGGCGCAAATGTGGCCATGGAATCAAACCACTTCAGGGTTATTGTACATTCATGGGACACTACAACACATCCAAAGGGCATCGAGATCCGGGAGTTGATAGTACACAACCTCCCCTCCTAAATCTTTCACTTACGTCCGAAGCAAATATATAAATTGAAATTGGTTAAAATATTTCAAATAACGAAATGACCAAACTTCATTTTCTTAACGTTTCTTAACGTATGCAGAGTTTGAATTTAAATTTGTGTGTCTCAACTTTTCCGTCTTTCATATATTCAAATGGAAATTTTGTAACCTGCTGATTTTTTTAAAAATGGAGGTTTTATTGCTTCTGAAAATCGATAATTATTGTTGGGTTATATATCTTTTTTTTATTTTTAGACTAACAATTTTTCAAAACCCGCTTAACGGCGTTACTACATGCCAACTGAAATGAAAAACATGCACGGACAAAAGTATTTTTAGTTTTTTAATGAATTATATTCTTTTATTTTAATCGTATACAACAAAAAAATCAAAATTATGAACATTATTCTAAAATGTATTTGACATATAGCGTGGCATTCGAGGAGGACGAGAGGGGAAGGACGGACTGCTGCTTCTTATCCGCGAAAGGTTCTACTTCCATGAATGCTTCTCCTATAACGTCATCCGCAGTGATTGAGTCAGCATCTTTCACGACAAAGTGGAAAATCTGGATAAAAAAATGATAAAAAAATGATAAATTTCTGAAACTAAAATATCTTCTGAATTTGATCATTTGGCAAATTTGGCAAGTAAAAAAAATCTGGATAAAAAACTGATGAAAACTGATTAATTTCTGAAACTGAAACATATTTTCCAAATTTTACAATTAACATTTACTTAATCAATAAAACTGGATAAAAAATGATCAATTTCTGAAAGTAAAATGCCCACTAAATTTTATAACGAAAATTTGATACATAATAAAAACTTTGGAAAAATTATCAATTTCTTGACTAAAAAATTTAATGAAAGTTTGGTAAATAAATTTCTATTTTTTGTTTAACCCGACCTGATCCGTCCCCCTGCGAAAGTTATCAAACGTGATTGGATTTTCCCACGTGGCGCTGTCGCTATTGTCGATGGTCGGGGTTTCGAAGAATTTGAAATCTTTCCCCTCCTTCCCGTAACGAAAATAACATTTCACAAATGGATCGCTCAACCCGCCAAATTCATCCAGCGCGGGAATATTTCTAAAGGTGCGAAATTAAAAATAAAATAAAATACAATACAATTTGGATATTAATTTGTCATCCGATTTTCAACCACGAACACAATACGCCGGATGAGAATTATTAAGTAGCGTCAGCTACTTATTGTGATCGTTTTGTCCGTCCGTCAGCAGGATATCTCCAGAACGAGTCAAGATAATCAAACGCGGTTTTCGCCATTGTGCTTCTAATTTTTAGTTCTCGGTCGAGTTCGAAAATGGGGTCCATCGGACCACCCCCCACAGCGCCAGGGGGTGTGGTCCAAAATTAAATTCACGTTAATTTTCATATGGGGTATCATTTTAAAGGAAATTTCGCCACGAATTCAACGACGCCAATATTTTTGACCTTTGACCTCGTCGCCAAGGTCATGGGGTCAAAAAACACTTAATTTTCATATGGGGTATCATTTTAAAGGAAATTCCACCGCGAATTCAAAGACGTTAATATTTTTGACCTTATGACCATGAGGACGAGGTCAACGGTCAAAAGATTCATAATTTTCATATGGGGTATCATTTTAAAGGAAATTCCACCACGAATTTGAAGACGTTAATATTTTGGACCTCATGACCTTGAGTACGAGGTCGAAGGTCAAAATATTCACAATGGTCATATGGGGTGTCATTTTAGAGGAAATTTTACTGCAATTTCAAGGACGTTAATATTTTTGACCTCATGACCGTTAGGACGGGGTCATATACGGAAACGTTAAAGGAAACTTGAATCTGTCTGACGCTACTTATTTACATTCGTTTGGAGGGTTTATTTTGTTTACAAAAAATAGCGCAATTTTGGACGAAAAATAAAATTTCGGAATTGATTTGTCATCAGGTTTTCGGACCACGCTTCATTTTGCTACATAACATTTGAGAAATTTTTAAGGAAATGGATAATTTAATTGATAGAAGGAATCAAAAATGAGGCAAAACTAAATTTTGATAAGTTATGTGTAGTTGAATTGCATAATTTCGAAAACGTGTAACAGTTTAAAGCCATAAAATGAATATATGAAAACTTGGAGTAAAAAATATTGTTCAAGATTCCCAGTCCTGTTGATTGAGATCACACAATAATTTGCAAATTTCCCACAAGAAAAAAGAATTGGAAATGTAAACTTCCTAAGTTAAAAAAATTATCGCTTTCTCCAATAAATTTGTAACTAAATTGTAAATTTGTAACTAATGTGTCGCAAGCTAAAACTTTTCTTAGCTTGGAAAATAATACGCTATTCAGTCGTAAACTTATTGTTACCGCGTGGTAATAAATTAAGGTTACCAACGCGGTGACAATTTTGTCCCCAACTTATTTTTTAGTAGAATAATTACTTGAGAGCAAGGGAAAACCGGAAAGGCGCCGTATTTTGGATCACGATAGATCCAGATTTTGATCCTTTGAGCGGAACGGTAAGTTGCTGACCGTGTTCCATGTACTCGTCCAAGTCGATGAAGGCTTCGCCCACAACATCGTCGGGATTGATGGGATCATGATCTCTCACTTCTACCCAAATTTTCTAATAAAATGAAATAAAAATAAATTATTTATATAAAATGAAAATAAAATAAAATAAAAGCAAATATAAAATTTCAAAATTTAGTCGGGAAAATAAATTATTTAGATGGAATAACTCCGGCATAGATTTTTAATCTCACTTTGTCCCTGTTCAATTCCTTGAAAATGCATTTTTTCTAGATTAGCGTCAATTTCATGAATTTTGAGATAAATCCAACGTTTCATACTTTCATGCAGCGTTGATTTTTGATTGTCGGAATTTTTGGTATGTACTACAAATTTATGGATTTTAGACAATGTTACCAAGGCCTGCCTGAGTTACGTCATGGTTTGCAAAAATTGTGCCTATTTCATCTGCGCAAACTGTATATAAAATATTAATATTTACGTAGTTTGCGTTAATCTGCCGTTGACGCGTAAAAATTTAAAAAGCGTAAACCCTAAAATGCAGTCCAGGTAATATTATACTAAAGAGTTTTGAGTATTTCAGAAACAAATACATACATCAAAAAAATTGTGGGAAATTTTTCCCAAAACAAGCTCTTGCTAAAACTGTACAAAGTTAACGCGAAATTACAGGAGTATGAAGTCGGGAAGTAAAAATTTGTGGTGGTCATATGACTCAATTTAATTTCTAGATGACCATGTCATGAATGTGCAATAAACAAATCAGAAAAAGAATAAAATTGTTGTTCGTAATTTTTAAGGAACTGTCCCGAAATGAGGATGAAATTTCGAGGAAATATTTTGAAGAAATTGTACGGTCGAAATTACGATAAAATTAATTGTTAACTTTCTTTGTATGCAACATAATTTCTTCAAAAAGTTTAACAAAATTGTGCCGAAATGAGGTCTAAGTTTCGAGGAAATTTTAGTTCTGGAAATACGATTGAAGTTACGAGAATATATTTAGAAAAAAGATTTGTGGTCGAAATTACGAGGAAATTAATTCTTACTTAAGTTTCTACATGGATGACATACCGGCAGTTACAATTTCTTCGTAATTTTGAAGAAATTGTACTGAAATGAGGTCGAAATTTTGAGGAAGTTAAATGCTAATTTTGTTTAATGTTTAGATGACGTGTCCGTACTCCAAATTTCTTCATAATTTTCAACAAATTGTGGTCAAATCAGAAAATTAAAAACCAGAAATTACCAGGAAATTACCTGATTAAGTCCTTTGATATATTGCACTTTAAAAACTTTGACCCATTGTGGATTCGCTTCATTCACAATGGTTTCAGAATCTCCCACTTTGTCGAGATCCTTCCCCTGCTTTTGCGAATATTGGGGCACAGATCCGAAATGGACTCGAACGTAGGGATCTGCCACGCCATGGTTGGCATCGTGAGACTCAAGATTTCTGACAATTTGAAAAAATAAATTATGAAAATAAAAATAACAAAATTTGAATGAAGCAATTAATAAACTACAAAAAATTATGCAAAAAACTCGCAAAATAAATACAGCAAAAATAACAAAAACAAAATTTAAATGCACCTCGCTCGTGTTTTAATAATAAACTGTACAAATTTTGGGAAATGATTTTGCAAAAAATCGCAAAATCGTGGGACAATAAACAATAACAGAATTTGAATGAATAAAATAATTCGTTCGTGTTTTGAATATTAACCTGTTTAAATTCTGTGGCAGAATAACAATTTGCAAAATAAAAATTGGCTATTAAACTGTGCTGTTTGCAAAGTTACAAATACCTGAGTAAATAAATCTAAACTCGAAAAATAAGCTTTTGCAAGGAACTTTTAAGTTTTGAAGTCTTATGAAAAAATATGTATTCAAATTTTACAGGAAATTGGATCTGCTAATTGCTGTTTAAGTATCAAATTTTAAATTAAAAATCAAGGTTAATTATTAATCGGTATGTCAGGTATTTTATATAAAATACCTGTTTTTTTATTCCATGAACAAATATATAATTTTTCCTTATTATAGCTCACCCTTTCAATAAATTTTTAAATCTTCATTTAAAAAAAACCAGATGAACACGTTTCAAAATAACCATTTGGAGACATGGCAGATAAAGTAAAGTTGAGACGAAAAAAATTAAAGTTCAAACCCGCATGCCATAGACCCTTAATTTCGGACATGGATTACTAGATTCCCTTACTTTAGTAGCGGAATCTATATCCTGTGAATTTCGGATAAAAATCAAATAACTACCATCCGCCTACAGGACTTTAAACTAAATAAAATTTAGTCTTTTTTCATAACCGACGTGGAAGTTCTTCTAAGCCGGATTTGATTTGAATTGATCTATTGATTACAAAATAATCTTGTGTCTTGTAGAAAAATTAACATGTGTTTTTACTGAAAATGGAGGTCTCCCAACGTATGATCACAGATTTAGGCCAAACTACTGCCAATCGATCACAAGTTTAATCAGTGTGAAATTTGCAAGAGGCACTATCTGCCAAGTTTGATGCGGTAATATTAGAACAAGAGGAGAAAACGCACAGTTAATTTGAAAAGTGTACAATTTGTCTACCTTGGGGCGCGTTTAATCCTTTTTTATGGAAAAATCTCTGCCAAACCTGCGCAGATAGTGGAATTTGCAAATTTCATACTGATTAAATTTGAAAACTGTGAGCATACGTTGGGAGACCTCCATTGTGAATAAGCATAAAAGTGCAATATCTACAATTGTGTTTAAATTTAAATTTAAAAAGTGTGTAGTCACAAAAAGCTATAAGTATTTCAAAATTTGTATATATATATATCGAGCGTAAGTTCAAAAAGTGAATGCAATGCTTCTTAAGAGACAAACTTTTGACGTAATTTTTTGCATGTTTCTTGCAAGTAAAATTAGGGGATTAATGACTTTTACGTTAATTTAACCTTTATTTTAATAGAGTTATGGATGGTTGTGACATAAAAACGATGTCAAACAACCACCCCCAACTGTTTTGCACTTTTAAAAATGTCAATCATGATTTTATTTCTGATCGTCACCAAAATCTTCCAATTTGCAAATTTCTCACCTCGCGGACAGCACGAAGTACAAATTCTGTGCTAATTCCTCCCTTAATTGTCTCGATTGGGAAGCTGTTTCATATTTAGCTCCCCTTTGTGGGGACGAATATACGGATAAAAATCCCACACAAAGTAACCCAACTAACTTCCACATGATATTTAGTTTCACTTCAAAATTTGCAAAAGAAATTGCACAAATTGACACAAACAGAACTTCAGCAAATTTGCGACCAAATTTTGCACAGATTGGCACAAAACAAACTAAGTAACCACAATCTAATCTTGTCTCTTAGTCTTTATGCGCAAGATTTAACTGCGTGACTCAATTCGCCAGAAATGTTTACGTAAAGTGCTCAGAGGTCGTATAAGTAGTGGAAATTTGCATATTTATGGTGCATCTAAAGTGACGCTTGTTTTGCATACTTGTCCTAAGTTTGCGTCTTCATTGTCACCACTTTTTTTGCCACTGTGTTCTTCAAGATTAACCAGTTCTGCTGAGGGAGCAGTGAGTCACACCTGGCAGTAAAAAAATATGTGTATCTTGGTCACTAACAACCAGCCAGCGTCGAACGTGACTAATGTAACAAATAAATACAAAACTGGAGAGATGACGTAATGAAAAAAATTAGCGAACAATTAGCAGTATTTTTTGCATCTGTGTAATAATACAGGAGTCGTAGAGGTGCTAAAGAAGTACACATAATTTTATGGAGCTGGAAAAGCATGATGTATTTTATGTAAGAACTTTTATTTTATTTTACATTTAGGAAATCAGCAAATGTTTTGTGATACGTGGTAATCAAGAACATTATTTAGAAATATATACGCATGGGGCACAAATTTTCAAAAATAAATGTACCGGTTTAAGAAATTGTGGTAATAAAAAATGTGTTACACATATTTAAAGATATAGCTCGTCCGTGTCAAATCGATAAGTGTCATATTCGCCAATATGACCATCCAACAATTCCTATGTTACCGACATTTATGACAAATATGACAACAACGACGAATGTCAATTTGCCAGTGACATGTCATAACGCTACATCCCTACTTGCCCATGAGAATTGTACCTAATGCTATATAAATTCATGATTAGTCATGCGAAGAATATATCTCACTGTTAATACACAATTAAATAATCGGTTTCTTTGAAAATGGGCGTGAACGTCTCACATAAATTTATGAATTTTGCAAATTTTTTAATAAAACTTGAAGAAACTAAGTATGTAATATGGGGGCTAAATAATTATGACATGCGTAACGTTTTGTTATTTTTTGCTGTTTGTGCAAATTTTTCGCACAATAAAAACCTCACCGTCAGCCTGGCGAGTTTATTTATCATCTAAAAATCTATTGTTGTTTGTTCCAGTGCCGAGTTTCATTAATCTTGTACTCGACACGCAATTTTATGTGGAAATAAACCGAATCGTGGATGGGGCACGGAATGCGAATAACGTTTACATTTCACATTGGTTCATATTAGCGAAATGAAAATTAAATTTGATGAGAACGTTCATTTGTGCTGTTTGTTTTTAGAGGCACTTTTATTTTACTTAGGGCCCCCGTTCATACCGTTGAAAAGCCAATAATAATAATAATAAGTCTTTATTGTCAAAAGGTAACAACGTGATAAAATGCTGATTTCCAACCATTGACATTTAACTAAATACTTAATTAGTAGTATATTTAATTTCAAGCTTAAGATTAACATCTCCTTTTTAAAATATACGCCGTCAACTTGAATTTGAAGACATCAAGATTTTTTTCATCTTTAATTTCATTTGGTAGTTCATTCCAAAATTTTATTAACCTATATTTAACACTTTTTTCAAAGAGCACAGTTTTGTGTGGTGGAATAACGAAACAATTTGTGGACCTTGTTTCATGAACCGATCCATGAATAGTAACAAAATTTTGAAGTAATTTAGGAATATATATTTTATAATCATTTGTAAAACTTTTAGCAAAAAGGGAAAGATAGTAGTTTGGGTACTCATCTAACTTAAATAAATTAAACATTTCATATAATACATTTATGTTAACAATACGTGGAGAAACCCAAGATCTGAGACAGTTATTTACGACTTTTTGGACGCGTGTTAAAGTGGTACTGGAAGATCCAGCCCATATTTGAATACCATATTCAAGACAAGACATTACAATTGCGTTGAAGATTAGATGAAACTTATAGGTAGGAATTTTCCTTTTGAGTTTCAGCAGATAATGAATACGAGGTGTAATTTTGTTAATAATTTTATCTGCATGCACGTCGAACCTTAACTCCTCATCTAACCAGACCCCTAAATATTTAAATTCAGAGACCCTGGTTATTTCAAAATTTACCGTTTTTATTGAATCCAAATGGGGTATTTTTTTCGTGCGACTATTTCTAAAAATCATAAAATGGGACTTAGTCCAGTTTATTTTCATGCAGTTTAAGTTACACCATGCATGCAGGATTTCAATCCTTTCAATTGCTATTTTTTGAAGTGTGTCAAAGTTTTTATGGGACACTAATGACGAAATATCATCAGCAAATACATCCTTGTGACCTTCAAGTTGGTCAAGGCCGTCGTTTACATATAAATTAAATAGAATTGGTCCAATTTTTGACCCTTGGGGGACAGATGCATATATAGGGAAAGAGTCAGATATAAAGTTCCCTAGTTTAATTTTAATGTGTCTGTTTTTCAGGTAATCCGAAATTATGACTATAAGGTATTCTGGGAAATGATAAATGTGACGCAATTTATCAATTAAAAGCTTGTGGGATATCGAATCAAAAGCACGAACCAAGTCAAAATATAAAACTAGTGTGTAATTGCGTTTTTCAAGTGTGTCATAAATTTTTTGAGTCAAATGAGTTAGTGCATGGAACGTAGAGTGCTTACTTCTGAACCCAAATTGTGATTCTGAAATAAGTTTTTTTTTCGTGCATATTGTTGTGATTCTAAATGTTAATATGTGTTCATAAACCTTACTGAAAAACGGTAGAACTGATATCGGACGGTAACAGTTCGGATCCGTTTTTGTGCCCCCAACTTTAAAGAGTGGAGTGACTAAAGCTGTTTTCCATTGAGATGGAAACCTCCCCATGTGTAAACTATTATTAAATAGAACTGAAAGTATAGCAATAATGCAACAAGCTAAACTGGTGGATATACGAAAATTTGTACAACTACAAGGCTTAGGGTTCGGGATCATCTTATAAAAATGGCTTACGAATCTATTGAGGCAATTTACGCAGTCCTTCGTAAAATACATAAATTTTGTAAGTGATTTTAAAAACTAAATAAAAAGCCGTTCTTGCCTTTATCTGAACTTACAAAATATAAAAGAAACCCAAAAAAGGATAGCTTAGATGAGGCTAAGAAGTGCGATAAAAAGTACTTAATAAATTTCTTCTCCAGTCAAGGATACAGAATTTTAATATTTCCAGCATCAGCGCCCCATTTATTTCATTTTAAACTGACTAAATTGCATAAGCGACATGTTTATGTATATATATTACAAAGGAAAAGAGTCGACTGTATTTGGTCAGACCTGTATATCATGTATCAACTTTCTGCGTATTTGCAAACATTCAAAAAAAATTAGGAACAATTAACACAAGATTTTAAAAATTATCTCTGCATCATATTTGAGATTTTATGCATATATGAATGTTCATGGTAGTGAAATGGGGCGCTGATGCTGGAAATATTAAAATTCTGTATCCTTGACTGGAGAAGAAATTTATTAAGTACTTTTTATCGCACTTCTTAGCCTCATCTAAGCTATCCTTTTTTGGGTTTCTTTTATTTATTATTTTTATTTGTATTGAAAAGTTCTAATATTCCAAAAATCAGACTGGGTACATTTCCGACAACTTTTTCCCAAACAATTCAGAGACTGACAATTCAGAGACTTCATCATCATTTTTTAAGAGACCCATGCGTCGTCTAGATACTAAATTTCAAGCAATCGTGTTCTGAATTGAAAAGTTGCTGGGCCGACCTTAGTAACTCAACTTTAGGCGGCGGTGGGAGTGGTCAAATTTCACCACCATCAAAACTTTTTAAGTTTTAAACCGATTAGTAAAATTTTAATTTTGTATTTTTATATAAAATATGTATCAACGTTTTATCCGTGTACATTTTTCATACATGCCTTAATATTTTTCTAATCTCCAAAAAACACACTTTTGGTGAGGTTTTTATTGAATATCTTACAAACCGTTGGATGATTCAGGCGGCCAAATCAGGGCTATACTCGATATAACCATAATTAACTCTGGCCAAAATGTCATTAAAATCGGTTGGAAATCAACGGAGATCTGAAAAAATTAAGCTTTTCAAAACTGTAGTGAATGCTTACTTAGATGATTTTTTTTCGATATAGTAACTATGGCCTCATCTAAGAAAAAAGTGCAAATTTTTGTAATTGAAATTTGAAACTTATTTTAGAACGTTTTCATTTTTTAATACAAATTCCTAGCTAAAACTAATGTAGGTATGTTCAAAATTAGAAAATTTGGTATTTGCAAAATGGGGTTTCGAAATTGTGTAGTGTTTCGAAATTTGTTAGGGTTAGATACCCTTTCTAGGATTATAAACCACTGATATTTATACACACGCTATGCAGATGCGATGTTTGTGGCAACAAAGTTAGTGTTCTGAATTACGTGCAAGCAATTTCGCAAATTATTTTACAAACTTTTACAATATCACCTTGTAAGTTTATCATGAATTTGTAGTCGTTCGCTTTTTAAATTTATGTAAACCATGTCAACCTTAATTAATATTCGCGTGCCAAAATATTTGGTGGATAAAATAAAACTTGGCGAAATAAATTTCGCACATTTCTTCCTACGAAACCCTGGTCGTACCCAAGATGAGGAGAAGGATCCCATAAAAGTGAAAGCCGCTCCTAAAAAACCTTCATCTTTCCTTTTGTATATCGCTCCCCAAAAACGGCGTGGCTGTTTTAGCTTAGCCACGTCGCCATAATACTAAACAATGGGTCGGCATAAATAAGGAAAGTGGTGGGAGAAAGGCAGCGAGAGAAAGCAGGGACAGAAAAACAATGGCGAAAAGAAGAGGAACAAAAGCTGGGATGAAATTCATAAAGGAAACGACAACACAATAATAATCCTCCAAAGTCGACTTTATCGTTATCTCTGCCGCATTTCGATGGGTTTTGGGTGGAGGAAGGGAAACATTGAATACTTTATTTATGGAGGGTGTTCACGCTAGGTTTGTAAACTCTGCAAAAAATGTGGAATGAGTTGTTTTTGGGTAAAGGGTTTTTTTATGAAATATGCTTATTTTCTTTAGGATATTCAGTTAAAAATCTGGTAGAGT